AATAAATATTAAAATATAATATATTTTTTATTTTATTAAATTCATATAATTATTATTAAAATTTTAAATTATATTATTTTATATTATTTATAATATTATCATATTATATTTTAAATTATCCAAAACTCCTCGTATTCTTTCTGATGAGTGTATAGCCCGAAAACGAAGACAAATTTGCATGAACTCTCTGGATATTCCGAACGCAATGAAAAGACACTGCAATAGAGGAGTACCCTTTTAGAGGATTCACCAACAGTCATCCTCCAGCTATTCTCTCTCAGCCCATCAACGGCAGTAAACAAATTAAAAACTATATAATATATTATATGGAAGGTTGACTAAAAAAATCGAGGCCACGCACGTCTAGTACGACTACTACTACTACATCGTCTTCTTCTGGTTATTATTTTATTTTTTAAACTCCCAAGACAAAAAGAATAAGAATAAGAGGTAATTCTTCATCCCAAGATCTTCCCTAGTCAGAGTCAGAGGCCCTTTCTCTTAAATCTTTTCCCACCTCTCGTTGTCCCCATATTTAATTTTTTTCCTACCAAAACTCAAAGATAAGTATACGTTTTCTTTTATTTTATTTTTTTAATAAAAAGAAGCTTTGGGTTTTTTTAGATAAAATTTTTTTTGATATTTTTATTTATCAAATTTTTATAAAATTTATTTAATTAAAAAAGAAGAAAAAAGTAAATGATAAAAAAATTCAAATTAGGATGATATGTGAATATTTTAATTGATCTTATATTCTCATAAAATTTATATAAATAAAAAAATCAAAAACTAAAATCAAAAATCAAAAGAGTAAAAAAAGACAAAAGCAAAATAAAATAAAAAATCATATAGGTTGCCACATGAACACCTCTAATGAGTTTCACATATTATTTTTTACATTGAGTTATCAAATAATAACTTTATTAATATAATACATATATATAAATTAATTAATTAATTAATAATAAAATATATAATTTTATATATAACCCAAAATGAATTGGAATAAATCACTCTAAACATGTTTTCAATGTGATTTTTTTTAATTTATCTCATTTTAACTTGATTTAGATTTTTAAAAAATTATCTTTTATCGGATCGAGATGAATGAAACCATCTGATACCAATTGTTTTAGTATCTCTATCAATTGATACATTTTGTTATAAAATTTATCTAATTAAAAAATATTTAAAAAAGATTAAAAAAAAAAGGTAAATTGGGATACCATTCAAAAACATTAATTGACCTTTTCACAAAATTAATTTAATTAAAAAAGATGTACAAACAAAAAATAAAAAAACAAAAATAAAATAAAATAAGCAAAAAAAGAACTCATTAGGGTATTACATGAACATGCTAATTGAGTTTAAAATGCTAATCTTTTAAATTAAGATATCAAATAATAACTTTATTAATAAAAAGTATAAAAAGAAAAAAATAATAATAAGGAAAAATAAACAAAAAAGGAAACAAGAGATCATTGGGGTGTCATGTATACATCCAAATTGAGTTTAAAATGTTAATATCTTAAATTAAGGTATTTAATAATAATTTTATTAAGATAATACATATATAAAAAAATTATATAGATAATAAAATATATACTTTTTATATATACTACGGGGTAGTTTGGGGCAAAACATCCTAAATTTGTTTTTGATCCATGCCCTTTTTTCCTAAAATAGATCGATCCAATGACTCAATATCAATTTTTACAAAAATGCTAATTTCTAATCGGAAAGGATCGAAACCCATAAGATATTGATTGTTTTGTTATCTTTATCAACTAATTCGTTTTATTGTAAATTTTATCTAATAAAAAATATGAAAGGAAAAAAGCAAATGGGGATGCTACTTGTACACCTTCATTCAAAAAACACACAAAAGGAAAAAACCAAATAGGGGTGCTCTATATACATCTCCATTAACATTATTTTCTTATAAAATTTATCTAATAAAAGAAATGAGGAAAGCAAAAGCAAAAAGTATAAAATTAAAAAAACAAAAACAATATTTTTAATCAATAATATTAAATGAGTTAAATCATAAATTCAAAAAAAAATCATTTATTAAATATGGAGCAAAGAAAAGGAAAAAGAATATTAAAGGGAAAAGAGGGGAAAAACAAAAAGGAGAAGAAAACGAAAAAAAAAAAAAAAAAAAGGAAAAATGAGTTAAAGGGTGCAACACGTAAGGGCCAAAATATTCAAAATTTATGTTATAGATAACAAAATATATACTCTTATATAAAACATGAGATGGGTCATGGCAAAACACCATTAAACTATCACTAACTCGACTACATTTCTCTTTAAAGACTTAATTTGCCCCAAATCGATCTCGATTTTAAAAAATTGTACCTATTGGATCAAATCAAAATTTATAGGATACAAATTATTTCATAATACCTATCAATCAGCTTTTCTTGTTGCAAAACTTGTTTAATTAAAAAAAATGAAAGAAAAAAAATTAAATTTGAGTGCCATGTACATACATTAACTAGGTTTTTATTTAACAAATTATCTGAATTAAAAAGGGATGGATTACATCTTAATTATGTATAAACATAATATTTTTATTAAATTAAAATATTAAATAATAACTTTATTAATATAATATATATATAAATATAAAATTAAATAAATAATTAAAAGTATAATTATATATATATATATATATTCAAAGTAAGACGAAGCACCCTTTAATTGTCTATGACCCAACCCCAATTTTAAATAAGGAAAAATCTTAACCAGATTGTATATATATATATATATATATATATATATATATATATATAAGTATATCCTTACATCTAGTGACTTTTTTTACAAAATTTATCTAATTAATAAAGTTAGAAAACTATAAAAAAAAAAAAAGGCCGAAGGGATTGGTGAAAAAAATGATTTTTTCTTACAAAATTTATCTAAATAAAAAAGTTTAAAAAATTTTAAAAAAAGGAACTAAAAAAAGAAAAGAAAAGAAAACCAAATAGAGATGTCGTGTGAATTTATTAAATAAAAATATTAAATAACAACTTTATTAATATAATATATATAAATATAAAATTAAATAAATAATAAAAAATATATTTATATATCTGACAGGGCAAAATACCTTGAAATTGCATCTGATCTTACCTCAATTTTTGAAAAAAATTTTGATTAAATCCCAAATTTAAAAAATATACCTATTGGATTTGAACAAATTGAAACTCATTGAATATATATTGTTTTGTCACCATACTTCTATTTGCATTTGTTTAAAAAAAAATTATTATTGGTTCCTCTGTTGTAAAATTTATCTAATTAAAATACAAAAAAAAAAGTGAAAGGAAAAAATGAAATATGGTCTCACATGTACACATATGTTGGTTTTGTTTTTTTCAACAAATTGATTAATTAAAAAAAAAAAGAGAAAGGAAGAAAATAAACTAAAAACAAGGTAAACTAAAAGACGAAAGGCCAAAAAAAAAAAAAAGCGAAGTTAACATGTGACATTAGCGATGATGAGATTTTCTTGCAAAATTTGTATCATAAATTTTAAAAAAATAAAACTAAAATAAGAAAAAAAACTAAAACTAAAAAAAAAAATAAAGTGTCAAAAAAAATAAAATAGAATGCCATAATGATGCCTCTGTTAAATTTTTTCAAAAATATTTAATTTTTAAAAATAATATATGTTTTTAATTAATAATATTAAATGAACCCAAAAAAACAAACTGTAAAGATATTTATTAAATATTTTTTTTAAAAAAGAAAATGTAAATAAAAAGATAGAGAAAAGAAAAAAAATGATGGTGTGTCACATATCATTATACGGTGTATATTGTGCATGAGCATAATTTATCAGAAGAAAATAAAAATAAATAAATATATGGTGTGCCACGTAACACTATAATGAGGTAAAACATATATGATAAAAATTTATTATAAGAATATACGTATTTGTTGGGGCTATTAATATATAATTATTTTAATACAATTAATCAATTAATATTTAATATTGTGTAAAATCTATTAAAAAGAGTAATTTAAGTAGTGGATCTTTCTATAAATTTTTATTATTATTAGTTAATTGTATCATTATGATAAAAAAATTGTAGATAAAATGCTCCCCCGAATTCATCCCAAGATATATTTTTTAATTTCTAATATTTTTCCCACTTTCCATGTAATAAAGTTTCATTCTTTACATGAAAATGAAGCAGCCGCTAGTGACAATATAGTATTTTGTATGAAATTGAAGCAAGATCTGCTCCCCAAAAGCTGTCCATCGAAAGATGCGAAGTAAAGGTCGTCTTCGCGAGATCCAATTCCACTAACCTCAGGGTAAAATCAAACCAGTCTTCCTTGCTTGTTCCCTCCTCACCTGCTCTCCTTCCCAAAACCCAACAAGCTTCAATTCTACTTGATTCTCTCTCTTCTCCATACTCCAGAAATGGATTCTCTTGCGGCCATTCAAGTGAATATTTGAGGCAGGTCTTGGATATTGCCAAGAAGTTATTCTGCTCAAGATTTAATTTGCTGCTTCCATAGAGAGGTTTAGTTTAATTAGGCAGCCACCAATATAGCTAGAATAGAAGAAGAATATTTGCTTTCAACTCCTTAGAAACCCAATTCAGCGAAGGAATCGGAAGACTAATTCAGTAACTAAAGGGCAGGTACTGTAAGGATAATCTTACCGGTTTTAAGTGTTTTTTATACACGTAAATTTATAAAGCCGTCAACTTTCCATTTCTTCAATTTGCTTCAATATCTATAAATAAAGTTCAACCTCCCAGAGACCTCAATCGCGCCCGTCGCAGCCGCACCGCCACTTGAGAATTCATTTCGCACATTCTTAATTTATTGAACTTGTTTGGTTTTGTTCTACTAATTCATCTGTTGTTATTTAGTAGGAGTATAGTTTTTCCCTTTTAATTTTCTTCAATATAATATATATATATATGTCTCTATTGAATATATAAACCTCTGTTCACCATATGTGGTACCGAAAAGATTTGAATAAGCCTAGAAATTTCTCCCTGGTTTGTTATTCTAGTCTCATTAATGTAAAACTTATGCTTGGTTTGGGTGCATGATATTGATGTTGCAGAGACAAAGGGTGGAATATGGCATCATCATCCAATTCCCCGTGCGCGGGATGTAAGTTATTGAGGCGGAAATGCCAGCCAGAGTGCGTATTTGCTCCCTACTTCCCACCTGATCAGCCCCAAAAGTTTGTCAACGTCCACAAGGTATTTGGCGCAAGCAACATCACAAAACTGCTTAACGAGTTGCACCCATCGCAGCGAGAGGACGCTGTCAATTCACTAGCATATGAGGCAGATATGCGTCTTCGTGACCCTGTGTACGGTTGCGTTGGAGTCATATCTCTTCTTCAGCATCAGCTCCGCCAACTGCAAATGGATCTGAGCTGTGCCAAGTCTGAACTGTCAAAGTACCAGAGCTTGGGCATCACCGGCCATGCTGGCCTCATAGCGGCGGCCGCAGCTGCGGCCACAGCCACGGCCACCACACATCAGAGCTTGGGGATAAATCTGATCGGGAGCGGTGGTGGCGCAGGCCGGGAACATCATTACCACCACCAGTTCTTCCCACGTGATCATCATCATCAGCAGATGATAAGGAGCTTCGATGCTGGCAGTAACTATGATGCAAGCCTTCTTGGCATGAACGTCTCCTCAGGGATTGGTCAACTCAGTCAGTACCAACAACCTAGAGCCGCTGCTGGAGATGACCGCCGTACCATTGACCCCTCTTAGGGTTAGGGTTTCATTATTTCTCCTAATCATCACAGGTACACTTCATCCTCTCCATGCCACCATTATTATTATTATTATTATTATATTACTTTTATTCTTATCCTACATATTTATTTTATATTATTTTTAATCGGAGAGAAGAGGGAATTGGAAGCATGATTATTAACACACTGTCAGAATGACAACTAGGGTTTATATGCAATTTGCAGTAAAATGTTAAAATTAAGGTTTCAATCAAATAAAGATAAGTTGGACAATAATTTTCTTTCTTATTTTCCCTTTTCCTCGTCAATTTGACAAGAAAATTTTTTGAGTTTCCACAACATTGAATATTAAGGTCCAAGCCCAAATTTCTCGAAATTTGAAATCAGATTATTTGAATAAAAGATCCTCTTTATAACTAAAACAGTGAAGGAGTTTTAATTATATACTAGCATAAGCCATAGAAAGTCATTCTGATTTACAACTCATTTTTTTTCTTTCTCTTTTCATTAAATGATTCATTTATTACGTTAAAATTTTCAAAATTTTGGGTGGATAAACTATTGGAATTTTTTTATATAACAATTGACTGCAAACTTTTCTTTTAATTACATTTTTTTTAAAGGAAGAACATATTTATTTCTTTTGTATTTGTATTTTACTGATTTTCATAGTACATTCACTTATAATTCTTTTTGCTATAATTTTGTAATTATTCAATTACAATAAAAAATCATGTTAGAAACTATTATTAAATGTGAATTTCATATAAAATTTTAATAATTTTATATAATTTTAAATTGTAATTAATAAATCGTAATGTAATGATTGTTGATAATATGCTCTTCACCGTCACCAAATTAGTTTTCTTGGCAGTGAGTTTTTTTTTTATTTTTTTTTATTTTCAGCTTCTTGGCTTAATGGCCAAAAAAACCTTGAGAAGACATAAGGCTAGGGTTCGACCCCAGCTCTCCCATCTCTTTTGTTGTAGGGCTTGTCTTTCTTAAAATAATAATAAAAAAAAGACTATGATTTTTTTTTTGTTTTCTAAAAATTCTCATATATGTGTGTTTTATATTCATATTTAATAGTATTTATTAAAAAATATTACTATATTAGAGGGATACATTAACCAAGGTGATATTTATAGAAATAATTTTGTAATTAATGCATTATTCATTTTTTAATTTTGATGAAAAATAATGTATTAAAAATATTAAATTTTGTTGAGAAATAACAATTTAATTAACTTAATAAGAATCTATAATACCCCTTAACATTTTTTAAGGAAACCAAAAACATTCCTAACCAGGTTATTGTGAAATTCAATTTTTTTGATAACTAAAACGCCACTAACATAATGTTTGGTAGGAAAAATAGAAGAAGGAAGGATTGTATGGAAGGAAAAATTACTTTGTTTTCATTCTTTCTTTTGTTTGGTTGGAAGAAGATAAGTGAGGAAAAGAAAATGAGTGCATAATTTACACAATTTTCTTCCTTTCAAATCCTATTCTTTCAAATATGAAAAAAAAAAATGTATTCATTCACCTTAAATTAATAATTTTATTTTTAATCCATTTTTTCTTCTATTTTAATTCTTTTTATCAAATATAATAAAAAAAAGTAATTTTTTTATTTGTCTTTTCTTACCTTTTTATCTTCCCTTCATTTTTCATTTTTCTTATCAAACATAATATAAATATAGCTGGCAAGTAGTAAATGTTTTGCCAAATTGAAATTTTTGATTGGTTGCTTGCTAGAATGACGTAGGGGGGTTGTAGTGATCATCCCATTGAAAGTGTGTGTGTGTATATATATATATATATAATACAAGAAAATAAATAAATAAGAAAAGAAAAAGATTCAAAATAATTTCCGTCTGATCTTCTCATACTATTAGTGTAATAATTTCCAAAACATTCAATTAATATTTAGCTCTTCTGCTTGTAATACAGGTCTTGGTCTTAATTTCAACCAATGATTCAGCGTTGAGAGAAAGAGGCATACTGCCGTTTTATATTAATATTATTAATTTAATAAATAAAATAGGGTCTCTTTTCTCAACTACTTTTTTTTTTTAATTTTTAATTTTGCCTAGAGATATGTGGTAGATCTAGAGGCATAATGTCCCTTTGCTCTTCTCTATGTATCAACTACTTTTAATTGAGTTTTATCATGTTGTATTTTTTTTAGTTAAAAAAAATTTACGACAAAATATTTTTTTTTAATTTAGAGTGAGAATAGATTATAGATTTCAAAAAAAAAAAATTTACATTGGAAAGGTTCATAAAATTTATATTTGATTTACAAATGCTTCTAAAATATATTAATGACAATAAAATTCGAATTCATGATTTATAAACAAAATATTTAAATCTAACTCCAATTGAGTTATTATGTTATATATTTGGGCCAAAAATGTGCTCACTCGCTATTCTTCCAGACTTAAATAACTCCATTAGTTCGTAGGGCTTCGCCTCTTAAAATTTGCCATGCGGATTGGCTGCCATGGGTTTGGTTTTGTTTCCACTCTTTTCAACTTTTATCCTTAAACAGTTCATAATATATATATTTTTTCTCCTCTCTTTTGTACTTATATGCATTGCGGACGTATTTAATTATTTACAGTCTCATAAATCTCGAATTTGGTTTTAAACTTAAAAGGTTTCAAATAACGATTAACTTCTCTTCTAATAGAAAGTTCAAATCAATAAAGGATATTTTAAATGCTCACAAGTGTGATAATAATAATAATTAATAATAAATAAATAATGAAAATTGGTAAAGAGCATTGAGAAGCAATGATTCGATGGCAGCAGAGCTGGGGTTATCCTACATAGAAACAAATTTGAATATGAAGATGGTTGGTTGGTGAGAAAAAGGTTTTTGGAGACAAACTGAATAAGACAGAGGGGGACAAAAGGGTGGGAAGGAGAGAGGTGGGTGGGAAATTAAGCTGAGAGAAGGCATGTTGCAGAGGAAACGTCAATTGTCATTTATTGCTCTCTTCTGGAAATATTTGCTAACCCAAAATCCAAAGCCAAATATTCAGTAGCACCATGCATCCATTAGTGTTTTAAAATCACATTGCTTTGCATGCCAATGATGACGTACTTTGTAATGATGGCTTTTCTTTTAAATGCAATGCCAGTGTCTATTAATACTCTCTCTCTCTCTCTCTCTCTCTCTCTCATGTTCAAATTCCCGAGGCATGCTATTAGATATAACGATGTAAAATATCTTACATTTGATAAGATTTCAAAATAATAAAAAAATACAAACTTAAAATTTTAATACAAATTATCTATAAAGTTAATAAGATAAAATTTTTTAATTTTTATATCAATTTAAATTGTAATACATAATTTTTATATAAAATATAATATAAATAAATAAATTATTACTAATTTATACTACATAAATATATAAATGAATACAATAAATCAATACATATACAAATTTTTTTTATATTAAATATACGAAGTGGTACAATGAACGGATACGACATTTCTTTCCCTATGCATGTATGACTTTATCGAAGAAAAAACCCATGGACGTACGAAATCTATAAGCTATAGTTCTATTCTATATAAAAAGTATAATCTATATCAAATTAAGAATAAAATAAAATTATTTAAGGTCAAAAGCGTTTTATACGGAGGATGCAAAAAAATTTATTTTATAAATTCTTGCAAATCCTTTTGAAATAATCTTATTTTCTTATAATCCACAATCCTCCAAGAAACAAAGGCTTAAAATTTTATTATTGATTGCCTTATTATTATCTTAATATTAATTGTCTTTGTGTAAAAAAATATATATAAATCGATTTTTATAATAAATTTGACGTAAGGGTTGGAAGGGTAATAAACCTCCCTTTTGGAAGCTTTTAGAGATTTTGTTTTTTTAAACAAATTTTATATGTAATATTATCAAATAAATATATTTTAAATTTTATATAATAATATTAAGTAAATATATTAGCACTTTTAATGTATTCTATCATGTCATAACTTTTTTATTTGAACACTTAATCGTTAAATGATTTTATAATTAGATTTAATAATTTACTCATATTTATCATTCACATAAAATTTCATGTTAATTCAATATTTTTATCATTTTAATCGATAATAATATTATTTTCAATATATACTAATGATTAAAATTTTATTATTATCACACAAATAGTTATATATTTTAAATTTAATTGAAATTTGACATTTATGATTTACTTGAATAGAGCATCAAATGCAATGGAATTGACAAATATAAATGGTATAAAAAGTGAGGTGACGTAAAACTAATTTAGTTTTATACATATCTAAGTAGATCACTCTTTATATCAGATTTTCATATTTTATTATTTAAAGATTTGAATGTAAATCTTTGATTAAAAAAAAAGAAACATAAATTATTCCTTATTTGAAAAAGTATTCATATTCTACTAATCATTTAAATATAATTAATTGTAGAGATACAAAAGTTCACAAATCATTATTAAATTAATTTTAATTTATACATATTTCATGAATTAATGGTTTAAAAATAAATCTTAAAAAATAGAGAAGATATATAAATTTTATTCAATATTCATTTTTATTTCTTTTGTAGGTTTCATGATTTCATTTGTCTTTCATAATAATGTTTTTTCTTCAATATAATTATTATTTTAATTTTTTGACTTATTTTTTAAAATTTAGTTTGTTTTTTATTTTAATTTTATTTCTATAAAATAATATGAACAGATTTTTTTAAAGAAAATTTTTAGAATTTAGATAAGTTATATATTTGTGCGTGTGTGTATATATATACACATATTATTTAAGTATTTTTGAAAATAAAAAGATTAATCACAAGCCAAAAGACCCGGTATTAATTAATAATGAATATGAGTAATGATTAATGTTTAGAATTTATATGATTAATTATAAGTAAATATAATTTTAAATTAATAATATTAGTTTGCAATATAGTATTATAGTTTTAATATTATAATTTTATAATAATTTTATTAC